ACAGAAAGGAAGTTCTGGTGACCAGATGGTTATGGGTACCTGTTTTTCCACCTGTAAGATGGGAGCAGTAATGGCATCTGCTCTCATGTGTGAGGAATAGGGAGACACATTTAGGGTGTCTAGACTGGTAATAGTAGTTACAAAGAGCAAGTGCTACACTGCTATTATTCATTATCTGGAGTTTCTTTACTCCCTTGCCAGCTGTTCATGTGCAGAATAAAGCAGTTCTATCTGAAGTCAAGTAAGCCTGGCAAAATGCACAGTGTACAGAACAGGATGAATGGACCCTTTTCAATTACTGACAGAGTCAACAATTCTAATACATGTATTTTTAGCAGCCATCTATTCCTACTCCCCCTGTCATCATTAAAATAATTTTGACACACATTGTTGAATTTCATTCAGCAGGATCGTGTCCAGAAATCTATTCTTGCACATGCATTTGCTACTGAAAAATTATCTACCACCTCCCTCCTTCTTGTAGCTGCCCTTTAGGAGCACCCAGTAGATTGAGAAAGATAGACATACTATAGTATTTGTCACCACTGGATCAGAACAAGTGTAATGTTGGAACAAACACTGTCATAGTTAACTTGACCTAGGTTGAGGGTCACAGGGCCGGGAAAGATTTTACCTACGGCAATGGATTCCAAAGTTGAACAAAGGGCAGACATTTACTGTGCAGGCAGAATGCAATTGCTAAGTCCTTTAGACATTTGCATGGCACATAGAAGAGACATATAAGCCCAAGATGCGGCTGCCTGGAGATAGAATCAGTAGGACTGAATGATGGGGAAAGTGGTAAGAAGGAAGAAGGAAGTGTCCAAAGGTGAATCCCCATCTTCTATTGGAATAATAGTAACCATTAAATGTACGATTGAGTGAAATCAAGCCTCTTGCTTGGCGATCAGTCGAAGAACCTGCCCCAGCTAGAAGTGAATATAGAGCAGTGACGGAGAGCTGCCTGATTGCCTGTGGAGGGCCCCAGGCAGCTGTTGCAGCTGGCCTTGCTGAAGGGAGGATAGATGGGAGAGATTTAGGGGGGGAATTGAAATGTGTCAGGAGGAGGAAAATGCCACCTGATGGCAGAGAGGCCCAGAGGTCCTTTCTGTGCTCTGGAAAACAATTGAAGGTGGCTGGAATCAAAATTGGTGGCCGTGCTCAATGTGCATGCAAACACGTGTCAGGGAGGGGGGCAGAGCAGACAGTGAGCCTGTGAAGGTAGGCTAGGGCACACTACACTCTAAAACTCAGAGCTTACACTAATACCCTGGAAAGTCAGGTGAAGATGGAGGTTTTAACCACGGGAGTCGCATGATCCGATTTGTTCTTAACAATCATCTTTCTCTTTCGGAATCATAAATGCTGGGAATTTTGGTGGACTTTAGAAAAAGACTGAGCATAAGAAGTTTAGCAAATTGGAGTAGAAATGCTGGGAATGTCCCAGGTGTCTGTCTTCTCTCCACCTGGGTGGCTGTGGTAAGCTGTAAGGAGGGAAGCTGTCACTATGGCATTGGGCAGGCTGAGATAGGGTCAAGGTATAGTGGCCAGGGGGAAGGCTGATGGGACTGGCCTTCAGACTAAAGTGTGGCATCGCCTCAGCTGATGAATGTTTGTGATGCTGGGCATAACAATCCCATCAAGACACCTCACTTTCACTTTTCGTGAATGAAAGCATTGAAATATTTGAGTCAGAATTCTTAGTTCCTTGCCTTAATTTAGTTGGTTACTTTTAATGCTTTGTGCAGGATTATGGGGATTGAAATATATGCACAATAGCCAGGCCAGTTATGCCTCCTTGAACCGCATACACTCAGACATAACCTTGTTCATTTGGCCTCTGCACAGAGATCATAGGCTTGGGAGACCGTCTACACTAAGGTCCTACCTAGTAGAGGTAAAAAAAAAAATGCCTAGATTTGCCAAATCTGTGAGATACATTTGTTTCTTTAGAACTGGGAAACTTGGAATGGATTAGCTGCTGTACCAAAAATCCTCTCACGGCACTCCAGGAAAGATCAAAGGTCCACCTGACATTAGGTATGCTGAAATTGTTCCTCTGCATGTAGAGAGAAGGAGGGACAATGTTTCAGAGGGTCTCCACAAAATTAAATCCTCATAATGAAATTACAGATCCCAAAATAGGAGAGTAAAGTAATTCTGAATCAGTACAGTGCATTCTAGGATGAAAAAGCGTAAGTGCCATATGTCTCTGTGACACCACAGGTCACTTTTCATGTTTGTCTCTAATTATTCATAGAATAAAGTTGCTGGACTATGTTAGTTTTAAGATGTTCTGTGGTTGTGATATTCTGTGATTTTATGATTAGCTGCCAAGTAATGACTGTAGCAGTAAGAATATGGCAATATTCCTACCCAGCAGGCATATATTGAGTATAAAGGAGACTGGTATCCTCATTTCCATGACTTCTGTTAATGAATTTCATTTTAAAGATGAAGTCCAGATAGAGATGACTTTTTATTACCTGGTGAGTGATAGCTTGTTCCATCTTTTCCTCAAAGCTTCTGGTTCAGTGGTCACTTCTCCCTCCCCTACTGAGCTGAGCTCCCTTAAGCCTTTTTTCTTTGAGCATCTCTGTATGTGGTTGTCATTGTTTCAGCTGAGCTGCTGCTCTTGGGACTTGATAGCCCTTTCTGCAAAGTTCTAACAAGAATCACTTCAGCTGTCTTGGGACTGACCCGGGAGAATGGCTGTCCAATGCCGGAACGTCTTCCTGCATTTGCTGTTTCATTATCAGAGTCAGAAGTCTGCTGCGTGAATGATGATAAATGTGTGGTGCTTTGTTGAAGGGATCAAGTGCTCTCAGATTAACCCCATGCTGACTGCCTGTTTCTGTCCTGTGAAGTCCCACCCACCATTCCTTGCAGGTTGTCCAAGGCAAACCCTGAAAATGTAAAGCGTGTATAGTGAAGGATATAGGAGACCTCAAGTCCAAGTTATATATAAATGTAAATGGTAGATTAAAAAAAAAACTGTAGACAGAGAGAAAAGACCAAGGTGGGTAGCTGCTCTGGAAGCAGGGGCACATCTAAGTATTTTTTGTTTTGTTTTGTTTTGTTTTTGGTACCAGGGATCAAACTCGGATCCTTGGTCTGGCGAAGCAGGTGCTGGCACCACTGAGCTAAATCCCCAGCCCTCCTCTAAGTATTTTTATGCTAGTATGCTAGGTTGGACTGAGAGGCAAGGAAAAAAGATTCACCTTTGGTCGCTCTCAACTTCTGTGAATGCCACCAAGGCCTGAGTCAGATCTATTGCTTCGGCCAAGGCGCTGCTCTTTGAGCTTCACTTCCCCCTTTTAGTAAAACAAGAAAGTTGAACGAGGTGATCTCAGAGGACTCTTATGGGACTTTCTTCTCTGGCTTTTTGCTCAGATAGGCTCAGCTCTAGGGACTCTCCAGCTTGTATCTTTGATGGCCTTAAGGTCTGTGCTGTGGGTATATGCTGATCCTATTTTATGGCCCCTCAGATGTAGTTCTCCAAGCACACTATTCTTCTCTTAGCCCTTTCCTCAAATTGCTGGGGTAGATTTGAAGTAGGATAATGACCAATTTAGTTCCCAAATTAGTGGGTACTCTTTGCTTATTCCTCTTTCTTTCTTGCTCACTTCCCTTTGTTTGGAAAAGGGTAGGTTACCTCAGACCCTAAACTGAATTCATGAGGGACTGGAGAATCATTCCTTGCCTAGTAGGAAAGATATCCCCCTTCTCACTGCATAGATTCCTTGGGGAAATTAGATGCCCTTCCAAACCTGAGGAATGATCACATTTCTATGGTAATGATAATTTCAATTCTCTGTACCTTCATGCATTGGAACAAACAACAATCATAATAGACACAATCATTATACTTTCTGTTTTTCAGGCTCTATACTGAGTTTTTCTGTATGTGACTATCAGTTTATTTACTCTTTACAATATACACTTGACGTAGATTCTATTTCACCTCATTTACATATGAGTAAACTGAGATTTACAGGTTTAAATATTTTGCCAAGGTCACACCATAAGCAAGTAGTGGAGCTGAGTCTGAACTTATGTTTTTTAATTTAAGAGCCCAAAATGCTAACCACATGCAGGACCATCAGTGCAGAACACTCCAAGGGCACCATAATTGCTTGATTGATGAGCAGTCCAGCAGTGCTTGTCTTCCACACAGAATTTAGCCCTTGGCCATGAGTGTCCCACCAAGCAGTTTTCTAGGACAGTTTTCTGAGACAGCCCCAGCTAAGGGAGAAAGGGTGGCAGTAACTATAGGTCCTTATCTGAGTGGTTTATGATACAGAGACGGGCTTTCTTCTGTGGACATATGCCATCCTAATAGTGCCATTTATCATTATGACAAAGGTTAGAATGGGGAAAAGCACAAGCTGGGATGAAAAAATAAAATTTTGATTATATTAAAAGTTGGAGGTGACATCATCTCTGAACCTCCGTTGAATGGCAAATTGGAAGCTTGCCTGAAATAGATTAAAAATATATCTAGAGATCATTTTCTGCAGTTGTGATAACGTCTTTAGGTGGTCTTTGGAGATGCATTTCTGTCTAAAGACAGAACAGAGTAGGCTGTGTTTCGCCCATATGGAAGGATGTCCATTAGTGTTGGGAGAGTTTAAGGCTCTGAGAATTGTTCTGGGCACCTATGACTACCACACTTGTTTTGTGTGTGATTAAAGCCACACTTAATGTTTTTAAAAATGTGTTGTGAATGTCTTTTCACATCAGTCATGTTTTCAACATTTTAATGGCCATGCTGTTTCCTTGGTCCATCTGATGATTGGTAGAATCTAGGCTTTGGGGACAAAATCTTCCATCCTTGTTTGTAAGCTGGAATAAGTAAGAGTGCTGGTCAGGATCCCTCATGACTTTCCTGCCCATCCAAGAAGTTCTTCATTTATTTGCTTTGTATTCTGGTAACCTAGAAGAAATACAATGGGGACCAGAGCTTCAACTAATTTATCCCCTCTTTATCTCATCTTCAGGCAAAAGAAGGGGAATATAGTGCACAAGCACTGGGTTGGACCTTCGAATTTGGTCAAGTGCAAGCCATGCCCCACAGCACAGTCAGCCATGGTCTGCGGCTCTGATGGTCACACCTACACATCCAAGGTTGGTCTCTACTGTTATCTTTTTTGTCATCAAAAGTACTCCAGGTCTGCTTGCTGAGTCTCTGTGCAAAATCAGGAGCCTGGGTTCTTAAGGGCCTTGCCCTTAAGAAGCTGCACGTGAGCAGACTGAGATAATCTCTGGACAACAAGTCATAACGCAAGATAAATATGTTATGTTCCATGTAACTGGACTGGTGGAGAGTGAAAGGGACAGGCTGGCTCTGCCAGTGGCATGTCATACTGAAAGGGGTCTAGTGGAGCCCTGAGAAGGTGGGTTGTGTGTTTCTCGAGAGACACAGGTCACATAGATCAGCCACAAGGAGCAACCCAGGAAGGGGTCTGAGCGTGCTGCTTTGCAAACAGCACTGTGAAAGGAAGGAGTTCAATGCCAGCCTACATTGGACCTACACTTACGAACATCTAGGATGTATCTGGTACTTCAGGGGCCTGGTAAAGTACTGTGTCTTTCTCATGAGGGCTCCAGGGGTCGCAGTGTAGAGGGGCAGAGGTAAATGTGGCGACAGGTTATTTTAGCTTGGATCAAAGCAAGACAGACGAAGAGGTTCATACGAAAACAGCCAGGGTGAAGCTGGCCTGTATATTCTAACTGGGGGTGTGAAGAAATGCTCTACGAGTGATTCATCTGAGATCTAACAGTAAGATTTACGGTCAGGGGGCCGGGATCGTGGAAGACAGAGGTGAAAATTTATTCTTGGAACTTCAGGCATTATTCTTGGGATAAGTTTGTTGATCTGCATTTGAGAATGGGTACCTTTCATTGGGATAATGAAGTAAGAAAGTGAAACCATAGACTCAGGAAGTTTTCTTAATTCATTCTCTTGTCTTACAAATACTAACACTCCCTTCAGGTCTGGCCCTATGCTGGGAATGAAAGAGCTGGTGTGCAGGTCCCTCTCTCCAGAGCTTTCATCTGCCTTCTGCTGTTTCTATTAAAGCTTCCGCTTGCACAGTGGAATCTCTGGCTATCTAGTTGCCCTGAAGAACACCCTGGTTGCCTCTGGCCACATGGCCTTATGCCTTTCAGCCTGTTCTGACTGGGTCCTCTTTTCCTCTGTCCTGCTGCCTAGAGGGTTGGCAGCTTCTCTTCTCAGTGACCCCCGCTGATCCTCACAACACAGAGATTCCTCAGACCTGGGAGAGCCCTTACCTCCTGCTTTCCCAAGAGGCTTGTTCAAATTATTTTGAAGATGTAGCCACTTTCCTTGCTGATTTTAGGACGTACTGGTCATTCATAGATAGATAGGACAAAAATATATATATACAATTTCTTTTTTTCTTTTTTTTTACTTAGCTTTATTCTCCAAGATATTCCATATTTTTTACCAAAGGGAAATATATCTCACAAAACATATACCTGAGTCTGGCTTATACTCAGTCCCATGTAAATGCTTCAGGACCTCAGTTTCATTACCATTACATGATCAGTTCCCTTATTTATTCAATAGATATTGTTTGAGCCCTTCCTGTTTGCCTGACACAGACCTAGGTGCTAGAGAAACTTATGCTAATAAATTTGGAATAAATCTTACACTAATAAGTTTGGAAATCTTGGAAATAAGCCTGTTTGCCCACCAACAGATAAATAGATAAATTGTGGTATTTATACATGGTGGAGTACTACTCTGCCATAAAGAAGGATAAACTCGAGTCAGTTGTAGGTAAATGAATGCAGATTGAGACCACAGTGTTAATGAAATAAGTCAGACACACAAGTTTAAATATCACATTGTTTCTCTTGTGTGAGAAACCCAAAGGGTAAATAAGTTATCAAATGGAGGACATAGCCAGGTGTGGTAGTGGACGCCTATAATCTCAGCACTCGGGAGGCTGAGGCAGGAGGATCACTGTGAGTTCAAGACCAGCCTGCTACATAGAGTGGAGGACATAGCCAGGTGTGGTAGTGGACGCCTATAATCTCAGCACTCGGGAGGCTGAGGGGGGAGGATCACTGTGAGTTCAAGACCAGCCTGGGCTACATAGTGAGTTCCAGGGCAGTCTCAACTACATAGTGAGACCCTGTCTCAAAAACCAACAAAACAAAACTAAACAAAAGGAGGACAGTTATCGAGACATAGAAAAAATATGTGCAAACAGGAAGGGGAACAAAGGAGATGGAGGGAGACAGGAAGGAATGGAAGAGGGATTTAAAAAAAGAATGGAAAGGAAAAATTGGAAACCAAGTTTGTAAATGAGTAGAGAAAGAACACCTGAGAGGACAGGAGGGGAATGGGGAAACAAAAACAATGAAGATGTATTATGCAAATTCCCTATGATGAATGTGATCATTTTGTATGGCAAAATATACTAGTAAATTTTTTAAAAAACTGAAAAAAAAATGTTAGACTAAAATGGGTGGCTTTTGTTCATGGCCAGAGTCAGTAATCCTTCCCTCTCCATGTGTGCACCTGCCTTGAAAGCTAGAGCTCCTCTGCCCAAGATCACAGCCTGGCTGGTAGACCTAACCCATCTCGTCTCACCTCAACCTTCTCTTCCCTCTCCTCTTCCCCTCCATGACTTCTGATGGACTCAGAGTTTGAGACTGCTTGCAGTACTGGGACTTGCTTCTGGTACCTTAAGCACATCTGGAATAATGGGTTTATGAGATGCTGATGTGCCATTTTTATCCATCACTCCCAGAGTCAGATGGAGTCATCATTATTTTTCATCAGGACCTAGATCAGTGATAGTGAACCTTTTTGAGACTGAGTGCCCAAGCTACAACCCAAAACCCACTTGTTTATTACAAAGTGCCAACACTACAAGTAAATCTGGGTACTGCAGTTTTGGTTTAGAAAGATGACTGTTACCTGATACTCAGCTGCTGGGCAAAGTCGGCTTGTGTGCTGACAGAGAGGGCTCTATGTCCCTGCTGTGACATACCTGACATAGGTTCACCACCCCTGACCAGGCGCCAGGTGAGCAGACAGTTGCCTGAGGGTCCTGTTAAAATACAAGGCTGTATAGCACATCTCGAGTAGGCTTGAGATTCTGCTTTTCTAATGGGTTCTCAGGTGATAGATGCTGGATCCCCAAAATGGATCCCTAATAACTCTTCCTATCTCTGTCTTCCCTCTCCTGACCTCTGTCCATTTCCATATAACAGAAGAGGGGAAACATTTATATTTCTTCCTTGCTGCAGTGCTCAGAGAGCTTTTCTCTTGCCATGAGAACTAAGCTCAGACACTTTATTATAACTAACAAAGCGCCTCACCCTATTCCAGCATCACTCCCAAGAAGAATATTTCACCCACTTCTAGTTTCTTGATGTATCATGAAAAACTGGGGAGAGGGAGAATGATGAATAAGACAGAAAACATTGCTGCTCATTTGAGTGTCACAGTCTTATAGGGAACACAAAATTAAACAAGGAACTGTATTGATCAGCTTTCTCATCACTGAGATACACGGCACTCATAATTTGAAGAAGAAAAGATCTAATTTGTTCACCATCTAACTCCATGACTGGCTGGGTTCACGGCAGAGTCGTCATGGTGGAGAGTATGACAGAGCAAAACTTCTTAGTCCTTGGAAACCAGAGACTAGAACAAGAGAGAGAGAGCAGAAGGGGCAAAGGACCAGACAGACCTCAAGGCCGTGCTGCCATGACCCATCCAGGTGCACCTTGGAGTGTGATCCACCAATCCCTTAGGCTGGGTTCCAAAACCTTCCATAACCACCACTGTAACCCAGAAAATAAATATGTACTTTCAAGTTTTACTAAGTCTAACAAAGCTGGGGCGGCGGGGAGTCTTTCTTTTGTAGGTGGTAGGGAGGGAGAGTCTCTCTGGGGTGTTTTTAAACTGAGATAGAGTAGAATGTTCCAGATAGAGAACACAATGTACCAGGGCAGTAAGGCAGCAAGGTGTGTTTGCTGAACTTAGAGAATACCTCTGTGGCTCTAATGGTGAGGGGAAAGGCATATGGAATGAGGGGAGGAGGGAAGATGTTGAAAATGGTCTAAGAGGGGATATTTAGTGAGCTAAAATGTAGGAGATGGTACATCAATTCCAGGCTGTGGCATACTAAGTATTGCAGTTGCCTGAAGAGTGTAAAATCCTGAAAGCAGAGACAATGCCTATCATGACCACCACCAAGTGGGTAGTGGCTGCTCAGTGAGTAGCACTGCCCCAAGAGGAGCCAACAAGGGCCCCAGAATAAGGAATGGGGAGGTTCCAGGCTGTGTCACCCACCCTGGACTTGAGTGAACAGAGTTTGCAGAGCTTAGTGATGAGAATGTAAGCCATCCCCATCCTGGAATCAGTTGTCTAACAAACCACATAGCCTGGGACTGTGGTGGAGAGTTAGTTAGTGGTTCCTTAAAATGCTTTTTTCTTTGTGAAGATTCAGTTTGTGCTTTTCAGATTATTTCCTCCAGCTGTGGAGTGAGCCATCTGATCCTCAAACCTGAATTTGGAGATGAGCCAGGAGATAGAGTGAAGGATCAGGACTATTTGAATGAGTGGCATATTGCTCTTCAAATCACGGCTGAATCTTGGCCTCTTGCCGTTATCTCTTATTCACGGAAGCAGTTTAAAACTCCAGTTCCTCATGACTCCTCCATTTCAAGGGGCATTCATCGCCTGTCCAATGTGGTATCTTGAAATGTCTGTTGGCCAGGGATTATCTCTGGGAATTTTTATTGGCCAAGGGCCCCCGCAGTCTGGGTTGGGGAAATGGCTTGTGTGTGTGTGTGTGTGTGTGTGTGTGTCCGTGTGTCCGTGCGCATGTGCACAGGAAGTTTATTTTATTTCTTCCATGTGCTTGGTTTAACGGGCAGGATAAGAATTCAAAAGACCCTTTTGCAATGACTGTTGATTCTTCACAAAAGTGGCCTTTCTATACAGCATTGGGCGGAGCCCTCAAAGCTTTTCCCCAAAAGAACCATGCTATGCCAGTAGTGTCTTTCAGTTACAGTACCAGCTTGTCTGATGTGTATTTCTCAGACCTACTCAGGTCTTTTTTGAGTACACATAAAGAGAC